AAGGCCAGCCTGGTCTACATAGTGAGTTCCAGGACAGCTGGGGCTACAGGGAAACCCTGTCTCAAAAAGACATAAATAAATAAATAAATAAATAAATAAATAAATAAATAAATACACTTTCCTTCATGCTCCTAACATTCCCTGAACATATTTGCTATGAATGCTATCCTCTCCCTTGCAGGGCACAGAAAATGACCCCAAAGATAGATAAAAACTAGTTGGAAGCATTCTCTCTTGCAATAGAATGAGTATCAGTGGAAGGATTAGTACAGGTGGAATGAATCAAGTGTGGAGTCATAAAATCAATCAGTCCTCCAAACTGCAGGTAGCACTGACAGCTATTCATTTTCTTGATGTTTTTGTTCTTAAAGACAGCAAGAAGACACTACTCTTCCCAGCCATACTTCACTGCATTTCTGACTGTCTCCAAAGGTCTAACACAGATTACACACTGGCAGTCGGCAGACCTCAAATCGCTTGCACACATTATTTAGTTACTCTACACATTTACAAAGTATTTTTAAATTAAGTGCCATATTTAAAAATGTGGATCCCCCACCCTCCATGAAATGTACAACTTCCACAAAGCCCATAATCAAACAATGTTTTGGAGCCTTGTGGTGACACCTGCCCCTGGCTGCCTCGGTATGAAGTGTTGGGTGTAACTTTGCCAGCCCACCTGGCTGCCCACTTTCCTTCTGCGCTCTGGCCTCCTGAGTGGCTCCCACGGAATGTTACTCTAGCTGGATCTGCTGACACTTATGTCAGACAAAGTTCAAACGGTTCCGTCTTCCTCAGACTCCAAACAGAGCACACCCCCTTCTAACCTCTCCATGCTCCTTTGCTCTCTCCCAGGACTCCCAGAGCACAGGACTGCAACACAGACAGATTTGGGGACCCAAGGTCTTGGAGTTAGTTCCAAAATGCCAAGCAGGGTCTTCTAAGAGAGTTTCTATGCCCATTGCCATAGGGGCAAGTAGAAGTCCTGAGTCAAAGGACCACGGTGTGCAAAGCATTGCCAAGTCAAAAGACCTGAGTTCAATCCTGACTGCTTACTAATAGGGCAGAGTGCTTCGCATCTCCTGAGTTTTGGTTTCTTCACCCATCAAAGGGAACAATAATTGCCCTTCACAGGCTGTCGTGTGAATGAATTCAAAAGGTGTATATGCAAGTGCTCGTCAGTTCATTAGAAGTAAGATGGGTGTGGGCTACGACAGGAAGAGGGTCTAATAGTGGGATGAAGAGCCTTGTCCATGTGACCCAAGGCCACGCCCCCTCCCCATTCCGAGTGGAGGGTTTGGGAAGCACCTATCTTCCTTCACCTGCTCTCAGTGGCTGAGGTAAAATGCATTATATGGGCAAACATCCTTTTTGGCAAAGCAGTGACTTCCCAGAGGTCAAGAGGAGGTCCAGCTCGCTGGTAGAGGAGGCCGGGCTGCAACCCCGGCTGGCTCTACCTAGGGGAGGCACAAGGATTTCGTTGCCTTGGCAGCCTCCCGCACCTGAGACAGACTTATCTCCTCCACTGGACAGATCACAGAATCGAGGTCCTTTCCCTCCAAAACTGCAGCCCTCTCCCTACATTACAGCAAAGGCAGCTAAAACGATCGCTCTCGTAAGCTCTTTGCAAAAGGGACAAATAGATACAAAAACGAAAAAGCAGAGCTTCAGAGCTGAGCTATCGAGAGATGCCAACGCCCGGCTGCGTAGTAAAACACACGGCTCTGAAGCGCGAGGGACCTTTCCAGCAGACCTTCTCACGCCACATACCTTTGTCCACGAAATGCACCGGGTTAAGCTCCTGGGCCAGAGGGCGCCGAGAACTGGCAGAGTATTCTCCCAGTCCCCAAACCGACTGAACCTTTCCTTGGCAGATCAGAGGGGCAGGGGAGCCTACCCCGCAGCGCCAGGCGAATCCTGGGCGCGCCCGGGCTCCAGGACAGGACACCCCAGAGCCTCACCCGGAGGATGTTCCTCACCTGGTCCTCAGGGATTCCAGCTGCAGGTAGTGGCCGCTTTGCCCCACATCCCCACCCGGGAGCCCGCCGCAGGGGGCGCGGCCCTCCTTAGCTAGGTAGTGGGGACGCACCGATCTCTCTCTTCCCGGGCGACTGCAGGGGGCTCAGGAGAAAGGGAGCTGGGTGCCCCCGGAAGAATGAGGTGGGCTTCTGATGAGCCCCAAGCGGATCCGAGTGGCGCACCCCCCGCCCAGGATCTTCCCACAAAGAGCTCCAAAACCGGGTTCCCCAAAAGCAAGGCGCGGAGCAGCCGGGAAGGAGCTGCGGACCTCGGAGAGGGGAGAAGCGGAGCTCCGAGCGGGGTGCAGGGAGGCCGGGGATGCAGACCCTGCGCGCCCAGCACAATGCCTTCAGCCGGGCTCCATGCCGAGAGCAGCCCGTCCCGCCCCGGCCTGCATCCCCCAGTCCAGTGCTCACCGAGGCGCCGCCGCCGCAGCTCCGGGCCGGGGCCGGCAGCCTCCCGGACTCTTCCTCCCTCCGCGCCGCGCCCGGGACGCGAGGTTTCGGGTTTCAGCCCGCCGAGCCCCTCTTCGCTCCAACCGCCAGCCGCACGCGGCCCCGGGCGCCCAGCAGGCCGAGTAACTTTGCTGAGCTCGCGCTCCACCTCTCGGTGCCCGCCCGTCCTCCCAGCCGCCGCCCGGCCCTCGGCCCTCGGCGGGGTACCCCGCACCCCGCACCCGGCTCCCCGCACGGCCCAGCTCCACGGCCCGCCCCGCGCGCTCGTCTCCCTCACGCCCCTTCCTCCGCCGCAGCCTCCGGGCCCCACCACTTCTTTCCCATTTCTTCCCACCATCAGCCTCGGCCCACCGCTCTTTGTCTCGCCTTCACCCTCTGGCTTGCCCACTTTCTCCCTGGAAACCTTTTTTGGTCCTTACTCAGGCCTCCGGTCTTCCCGATCCAGCCTCTGGGACGCCTTTTTCCATTTCTTTCTCCATCACACAAGTACTTTCGGATTCTTCGCTCCGCACCGTCCCATTTTCCTCCTCCTCCTCATTCAGTCTCGCGGAGGACTCTGGCATCCCTTTCTTGCTCACCTTCCGTTCATCCAACCAAAGGCTGAGGGCATCTGTCTAGTGCCAGACAGTGTGCCAGACCCTGGCAATAAACCACGAAGCCAGACTTTGAGGAAAGCTGCCGACTGGAGTGGACAGTGGATGTAAACAGACCTTTACTACACGCCCTCTCAACCAAAAAAAAAAGCATGGAGAGTAAGGACCAGGGCCTGCTTGTCAGAGGACACAACTGCTTCTTCTAACTGTTCCCTTCCTCCCTCCTCATGTCCCTTATTTCATACTCCTTCCCAGCCGTAACCTTAATGAGATGAAAATTTCAAGCTACTCGTACAACTACTAAAAAACTAAAAAGAAAGGAAGAAGAGGACAGCAAAATAATCAGATAGGAAGTTGTAAGACCAAGTTTGCTAAACTTTTGGGGGGAGAGGGGAAACACAGCACAGATACTGTGCTTAGAGTAGGACTCAAATTCCTCTGAAATCTATGTGCTTAGATAAATGCATTAATTATTCCCTTGTCTCCAGATTGACTCCATGGGAGCTGCTTCCTTATTAGGCACTGTTTAGAATAATAATTTACTATCTACCACCTGCTAAACACCCAGACTGCTTTAGAGACAAATGGGTAAGGAAGAAAGGAAGTAAACGAATGCCTTTCTATTCCTATGGGACAGATGCTTTATTTAGTCAAAAACTAGAAGCTGAGCTCTTCTCAGAGTCTAGGCCATTCAGCCAGTCAGATGTTTGAAGCAGCCTAAATCAAGCTGATCTCAAGAGTGTTTTAGACATTTGTTCTGAAATCCCTGATTATTGACTTAATTTACACCAGCCCAGACACCAGCTAAGTTCTGTGACCCTGGAGAGTTAGCTAACCTTTTTGAGTTTTGGTTTATTCATATAAAATGGGGATGTGAGGACCTTGCCTACCTGTGGAGATGAAAGGGTTAAGCAAAATACTCTAAGTAAATCACCCAGAGTCATGCAATGGGAAGACTAAGCCCTTTTGAAGGTCAGCATTCAAGAGCATTCAAGAGAGATCTGAAAATGTATCACAGAGTAGCATGGAGGGATGAGAATCCAAAGCAAACAATTACAGCTGTTTCAGCTCCATGCTGCAAAAGACGCCCTCGGACAGCCCTTCCCCACACTCCATTTTGAATTCTCCCATGGAAAACATTTTTTCTCTTGCTGCTTTATTAGCAGATATATTATTTATCAGAAAATTGGATTCCTCCCCACAGCTTATAGGCTCAGAACCTTCTGTGCATCCAGGGATAGAAACTGCTGCCAACAAATACACTTTTCAATTGCTATCTTAAGACTGTTTTGTGTTTTTCTGCCTTCTGGAGCTAATATTGAGCTATGAGCAGTTTTCACTCAGAAGTGTAAACAAAATTACTATTGAAGTCATTATTTCTCTATATATCATTGTGTAGGTGACAGTTGTGTGCAAAACATGACATTGATTTTTTTGTGCAAGAAGATAATTTTCTTCTTTTGCAGAAAAAGAAGAAAAAGATGCATTTAATATCCTCCTTTCCCCAGTTGGCTTCATGAGCCCTTCTGTTTTGGGACCCTCAGAAGATTCTGCCCTAAGGTGAGAGAACTCATCCAAATGAATCCCAAATGCCTGCTGAAAAAAATGGACATTTAATGAAGCTCAACTTAATCTATATCTATATTTTTCTATTTTCTTCTTCTTTATATTTACTTATTTATTTTGTGATTGTGTGTATGAATGCATGTGCCACAGCACATTGTGGAGGTCAGAGGACAACTTGAGGTGTAGAGGGAAGTTGGTTCTCTCTGTCCACCATGTGGGTCCAAGGAATCAAACTCAGGTCATCAGATTTGGCAGCAGGTACCTTCACCTGCTGAACGGTCTCACCATTTCTTTATAGGTTTCCCCTACTGGCAAACATAAACTCCATAAAAGCAGGTACCTCACATAACAAAACACAGCTGTTTGTTCACCAAAGGCTGGGGCACAGTAACAAAAAGACTTTTAAAATGGCTGTGAGCTAAAGGTGGTGACACACACTTTTAATACCACTCTGGAGACAGAGACAGGTTAATATCTGTGAGCTCAAGGCCAACCTGGTCTACATAGAGAGCCCCTCCCTGAAGTTCTCCTGATATCAGAAAATACTATGCAAACTGCCAAGAGAGAAACCAATTAAGGATCCTACCCAGCTGTAAAGTCTACAAACCACAACAATGACCAACCCAGCAAACTACCTCTATTGATGCAGTAGTAGCATTTTTTTTTTTTCTTGTTGGTCTTTTTGAGAAAGGGTCTCCCGGTAGCTCCAGCTGGCCTGGAACTCATTATGTAGACCAGGCTGGCCTTGAACTCACAAAGATCCACCTGCCTCTGCCTCTCAAGTGCTGGGACTAAAAGCATGTACCACCACGCCCCGCAGTAGTGGCATTTTTATCTTGGGGATGATCAACAGTTGTTTAATTGGATTTAAGGCTATTCAATAGGAGGGAAATCGTTCATGATACTGTAAATATAGTCAAGTACACATGGTACAGGCCTAAATGACATATCTACAATGCAACTTCTACACCCAAGGCTCCAGGAACATCTTAAAAAAGGGCATAGAAAAAAATGTAAGAGCCAGAGGGACAAGACACATGCTGATAGTTAATGCAATTTATCTATGACAATGAAAGATCCATAGTATGCTAGTCTAATAAGATCTGCATAATGACAAAACAAGTTGACACGTCAAAGTGGGAATGTGACGGGGTCCCATCTCAAGATGAAGAGTTACAGGCAATCAACAGTTGCTGAGGGAGGGAGAATCATTTCTTATCAGGGACTAGCTCCCTGAGAGGTAATCTAAACCCAAATGGACAGTCTTAAACACAGGTACACATGAGCACCACTTAACTCTGCATTATACATAGAGAAAGATGATGATAGATGATAGATAGATAGAGAGAGAGAGAGAGATAGACAGATAAAATATATCCATTATATGTAACAATAATAATCAGAGGACAAGAAATTGAGAGGGAGTCAATGGACATGGGAAGAGTTGGTAGAAGACTGGGAAGAATAGAAATAATGCAAAAATAATACTCATGTATGAAATTATAAAAAAAAAAATAGTGCTCAGTGGTTAAGTGCCTCCCCACAAGCATGGGGACTGGAGTCTATATCCCAGAACACAAGTAAATGCCAGGTGGGCTTGCTGTGATTCCAGCCTCAGAAGGCAGAGACCAGGGATTCTCAATGCATGCTGGGTAGAAAGACTAACCATATCAGTAAGTTCTGGGTTTGATTGAGAGACCCTGCCCCAATGAGGGAGGTAGAAGAGTAATAAAGGATAATCCCTAACATCAAATCTGGCCTCCACATGTATATACACACACGTGTATGCACACCCACACACAACTGTGACCCCACACAAATACACACACACACACACACACGCACACACTCACAAATGAAAAAAAGGAAAAAGAAAACTTAATGACAAAAGTAAATAAAGGATATATTCAGAGGCCTCTGATGCTCAAACTTTGGTAGATATATAAAGCCCTTGAGATTTCCAAGATACACACCACAAACACAAGAGATAAAGGTAAGTGATATGCTGGAATTCATCAAAATTAATAGTTTAATGCCCCCCCCAAATGCTATAAAGAAAGGGAAAAGAGGGCTTAGAGAAATGACTCAGCAGTTAATAACACTGGTTGCTCTTGCAGAGCACCCAGGTTCAGTTCCTGGTACCCACATGTCAGCTAACAACCATCTGTAATTACAATTCCAAGGAATCTGAGGCCCTCTTCTGGCCTCCATGGGCACTGTATGCACACGGTGCACTTATGTACATGCAGGCAAAACACAAACAAAATAAAAATAATAAATAAGAATTTTTTAAAGAGCAGCAAGTCAGTGGGTGTGATGGCCCAGGCCTTTAATCTCAACACTCAGGAAGCAGAGGCAGGAAGATCTCTGAGTTCAAGGCCAGCCTATTCTACATAGAGAGATCTAGGTTAGTCAAAGCTACACAGTGAGGCCCTGTCTCAAAAAAAGGGGGGGGGCTAAAATATGTGCAAATCACAATCTAACAAAAGACTTGCATCCAGGGTATACAGGGAACTCCTATAACCCAATAAAAAGATATGCTATTTTTTTTACAGTGGACAAAGAATATTCTTTGAAGAAGGTACATAAACGGCCAATAACCTCACAAAAAGCTGCTCGACATATTAGTCATTAGAGAAAAGCAAATCAGAACAACAATGAAATTCCATTTTACACCCACTTGGATGGTGATCATCAAAAAGACAAAACAAGTTATTGTGCAAGAAATTAGAGTACTTGTACATTATGGTGGGAACGTAAACTGATGCAACTTCTTTAGAAAATGATTTGGCAGTTCTTCAAAAATGTTACATATAAGGTTATGTGACCAGGGAATTCCATATCTAGGTATCTACACAAGACAAGTGAGTATGAAAGTGCGTATACGAATCTTCTTAGCTGCCAATATTCATGATCGACCAAGAGTAGAAAGTCCCAAGTCTCTCAGATGAATGTGCAAGGGAAATGCCGTATATCCATATAATGGAATATTATTCAGCCATTATGGTTAAAGTCATGTTAAATGAAAGAAGGCAGACATAAAAGACGTATTTTTAGCTGGAGAGATGGCTTAGCCATTAAAGACTCAGGCTCACAATCAAAAGACTGTATATTGTATGATTACACTTGTATCAGATACTCAGAATGATTAAATCTATAGAGAGAAATTGGCTTATTAATTGTCTGGTATGAAGAATGAAGTGATATGAATAATGGGTTACAAGGTTGATTTTGAAGATGATGAAAATATTAAAAAATTACCTTATGATGATCACACAATTCTGTGGGTGTTCTAAAAACCAATGAATTATATACCACAAATGGGCCAACTTTACAGTGTGTAAATTATCTTTAAATAGAGTTTCTTAAAATAAAAAGAATGCCCTGAGGAGTTGGTTAAAATGGGTCCCAGACCCCATTCACTGCTACCCCCTTTCATGTTCTGAACAGCTGCTGTTTGCTGTGGGGCATCCATGCCTCTTTCTGCAGAGAGCACACCCTCAAATCTTCTTTGGGAAACCATTGCTTCTTTCTAGGGATCAACCAC